ATGAAATTATCAAAAGGCTCAATCCACTGAGAAATACACACAGGCTGTAGTCAGAAACTGTGCCTTTAAACAAGCAGCCAGGACTTCCGTAGGTTGTAATGTCACAATGTTATAGTCACCTTAGAAGTGCTGCTTAACTCTGTGCAGTTGACATACACAGTGAGTCCCTGGCTGCCGTGTTACTGAGAAGACTGCAACAGCACAGATGCGCTGACCAATCAGAGTGGACTGGTCTTTTACAGGAGGGGGCCTTATAGAGAGAGGCACTAAAACTGAGCATTTCAGACAGGTATATTCAGACAGTGTTTTTTAAACAATACAAGTATAAACCTGAAAATATGTTCGTAAAGATCGATCTTACAATAATTGTAAGGTTTTTTTCTCATTATGGTACATCTAAACACTTGCAGAGTCTCAATAACCTCTATGACTATGACTATGACTAATGCTGTGATTTCAGGATTTTAAGATTTCTTTTAATGAGAGAGTTTTTACTTGACAAGCACTCCCACTTAACCGCATTGTATTAATGCTAACAACACTAATGAAAATTAGAGTACACACTAAAAGATTACGTAAAATAAAAACACTAGACTTTTTAAAAGATTCAAGGGTACTTTTGCTTCTTTTTTTTTTAACGGACTATACATTTGTTTTTGAAAAGGCCTTGATTGACAGTTGGCCTGAAGATTGCATTCAGGCCTAGAGAAGCAAATCCAAATCGACTTCTGAATCTACTCAATGCCAAAATTGTGAATATTTTCAATGAGAAATTCCCAAACCAAATTGTATTTATTAGTTTTAAACAGGAGCTCGACATAAATTCATTCGGTTAAGTAAAGAAATTGGCCTGAAGTGAACCGTGATCTGGTCAAGTTGCGTCCAACAACTTTGATCATAAATAATAATGTCTAATGTCATTCTTTCTCTCATGTCACGGCAAAATATGATTGCTAATCATGTAATTGAGACTGTCCATTTGACATCATGTTGTGTGCACTCGGCCCTCAGTGTTACTCTGTATGCAGGCCTCGCAGAGCAAAATGCCACCGTAATGAAAGCAAAGTGTTGGGTTAATTGATAAATCTGAGGTCCTGAGTAGGAAGGAGTCTGGCAGGGGGAATATTTTACGGCTGTGCAAATGAAGGGGCTGCAGCGTTTTACACATGCAGTAAAATGGTTATGGAGAATTAGCGTTCTTTCTTTCTCACCGCAATAACCTAGACATTAATGCAGCAGAGCTGGAAAGATGGATGGACGTGATAACGTAGGAAATACATACAGAGACAGACACATATAAAAGGTGGATATGCATTTGCTGCCCCTGCCCCACCTAATTCCATTGTCTGTACTTGGCGGTGGACGTGGCCTATTTCAGTCTAGGAATTAATTGCTAATGAATACTGTTCCCATTAAAAAGATCCCTCGTACATTAGTTGCATGCATCACGGTGAAACATTATGGCTGAGGCCATTAATAGTGGGCCACCATGTGTGTATGAATGTGGACACACTTCTCCCGTCCCTGTTGCCTGAAGCTTTGCACCCACAATACAATAATGATAGTAACAAAGCCACACCAGAGTATCTTGAAGGAGAGTGTGTGTTGTGCCGAGAGGAAGTAACGAGGACAATGCTGTTGCAACATTAAAGTATATGTGTGGGTAGGCTATCGGCAATGATCTGTGTATATGCATGTATTCATGTGTGTGTATGTGATTGTCTATGTGCATGTGCTCAGGAAAGCAGGGATGCCTGCGCAAACATGTGTTCCGGTGTGTATCAGTGTGTGTTGCTTCTGATCAGACGCTGGCTTTTGAAAGTTGTGACGGGTGTCAGTCTAATGCGAGGGGAAGGAAATGCTTGGAGCGTAGACAGACACAGACGTGACCACTCACTGTAGTGTACTTGATTAGCACGTAGCCTCCTAATTAGCTATCCTCTATGGTTACAGGCAGTACCGCTGGTGACATGGCTACTAACACAACCACAAAATTAGCATGGGCAGAGAGGGCTTTCCCATGTCTGCATTTGAAATTAGTTAATGCTGGTGCACTGAGCTGGTGCAGAAGCTAGGAAGCTTGAGTACGTTATAGAACAATGGACATTACAGTGCTGGCCATATTAAATGTTTCAACTGTAAGAGGTTTAGGCAGTCACTCACATAATCTAGCCTTTCTTCATAACAAAAAATTCACATTCTTGCTATCTTTGTGTGTTAATATTGAAAGGGGTGTCTCCCAAGCGTCCCCCCCGCCCCAACTATGCATACAAAACATCAAACACACGTTCATACGCAGGGAAAACTTGACATCCCTTTTCCCTGCGATAACACTGCTCCTGGAAACTGGGAAGTTGAGGCAAGGACACAAAGAAGCTGGAGAAAGGGCAACCACTGCACAGCCCCTGTTGGCCAAAGCTGGGGCCATTAAGATCCTGAAGAGGTGGGGACTGGCATCTATGTGATTATATGTGGATGTGTGTGTCTTAACACGCTGCGCTACAATTGCATTGATAGGTTCTCTCACTGTGATACAGATGGCTAAGGTAGATAAAGGTCGAGGACTCGCGGGCTATTTCTAGGGCCTGGTTTGGATTGGGTATGCTGTTTGCCTACTGCCAAGAGCTGTGATGGTCAAGCCAGAGAACCATGGTCTGGAACTAGGGAAAAAATGGGCTATGTTAATGATGGGGCTTCAGGCTGTGTAGAGGGCTGAAGCAAGGCTAAGGGTGATGATTACAAGTTGGGCTAGGTAATGTGGCAGAGGCTGGGGCGAGAGGGCTGTGGCAAGGGTTTGAAAATAATTAGCAGCATGGCTGGATAACATAGCTAGATAATGTGGCTGGAGGAGGCTGGCTGGGCGCGGTATGAAGATGATGAGTACCAGGGTTGAGCTGTCCACTCCATTGGCCCTCTGAGCTGTGACAAGAAGCTCTGCTGGCTGCTGCTGTAGCTGGGGGTGATGCCAATGATAGGACTAATGCACTAATTATCACAGAATGAGAGAAGAAAGAGAGAGTAAACAGAGGTAGAGAGAGATACAAAGAGATGGAGCGTCAGACAGAGAGACGAAAGGGGAAAATCTGAGATCTGATGAGCTCTGAGTGACAGCAGTATGACACGACTGGGCTGAGAGCATCTTTAGCAACAACATCCTACACAGCAGCGGTAGTGTTATCAAAGACAAAAGGGAGGTCAAGTTCAGCCAGTATGTATGAACGTGTGTCTGGATGTTCTGTGTGTATATGCATAGGATTTGCGTAAACCATACATACCATACAATTTATCTGTTGTTGTTTGTTTTGTTGCAAATAGGGGTTCAATAATGACTGATGCTGTGACTTGCAGACTGCAATGCGTTTCAGCTTTGGCAAATTTCCACATGTAGGCTCTGCAACTTAAATGGTGAGCTAAACAACTGATGGCTTTAATTTTAATAGCGTCAGTGAAAACCTTCATTTACCACACATGCTCAAACACAAAAACCCTACAAGCTTTCCATCTGTATTTTACTGTATTTTAAAAATATAGCCTAGACGCCGGGAGCAAAACTGATCGTACCCCTCCGGACCCTGTTGTCAGCTGCAGGAGACCCTATTCACCCGCCCACTCACTCCACATACTTATTTATCTCTACTTCCTGGGGCCGTGTTCGTTCATTCCCACACCGCTGCTCTCTCCTTCTTTCCATGCACCTCTCTCTCTCTCTCTTGTTTCACTCCTCGTTTCCAGGCAATTGGGTCTGGGTGCTGGTGGTGGGGGGTAAGAGGTTGGGAGGGAGCTGCTGGGAACTTTGTGTGTGTGTGTGTGTGTGTGTGTGTGTGTGTGTGTGTGTGTGTGT